TGAGACAGAATGGACAGGTTCAGGCCCTACCTTCTCCAGAGGCGTGTAATAACATCTCCGAGCAATTTGAGTAAAATAAATAGAAACATAAATAAATGGGGACTGTGGCATAGTGGTTGTATCCCCACCTCTGGGCATGAAGATCCAGGTTCAAGTCTCACCTGCATTGGAGACATATCGTGACATGATTGAACAAGGTTAAAATAGGTAGGAAGCTAGTTGTTAGAAATCAAAGAATCAACAAAGGGTTATGGATAGGTTAACAGAACAGGCAAAAAATTGGGATAACAAGGTGTAGAGCTGGATGAACACAGCAGGCCAAGCAGCATCAGAAGAGCAGGAAACCTGACGTTTCGGGTCTGGACCCTTCTTCAGACCCGAAACATCAGCTTTCCTGCTCCTCTGATGCTGCTTGGCCTGCTATGTTTATCCAGGCCTGCTGTGTTCATCCAGCTCTACACCTTGTTATCTCAGATTCTCCAGCATTGGCAGTTCCTACTATCTCAGGCAAAAAATTGGTACATGTAATATTGGGGAATGTAAAGTTGTCCACTTTGGGAGGAAAAGCAGACTATTAGTGGAGAGATGCTGCCGTACAGATGGATTTGGGAATCTTTGTACATGATCACAAAAAGTTAGCATTCAGGCCTAGAAACAAAATAGGAAGGCAAACAATGTTAACTTTATTGCAAGGGGAATATAGTATAAAATTAGGGAAGTTTTGGTACAACTGTAAAGCTGTCCGGGTGAGACCACACCTAGATTATTGAGCATAGTTCTGGTTTCCTTACTTAAAACAAATAGGTAGAACCATTGAAAATAGGAACAATTAAGCTATTCAGCCCTCCCAGGCTGCACCGCCATTCAATATGATCATGCCTGAACTCGGTACCCTGTTCTCCTCATACCATTTTTAAAATATTCATTCACGGGATGAGGATGTCGCTGAATAGGCCATTGTTGCCCATCCTCAATTGCCCAGAGGATAGTTAAGAGTTAACCATATTGCTGTGGGTCTGGAGTCACATGTAGGCAAGGATGACAGTTTCCTTCCCTAAAGAACATTGGTGAACCAGGTGGGCTTTTCCTGACAATTGACAATGGGTAATGGATTCATAGTTATCATTAGAGTCTTAATTCCAGATATTTATTGAATTCATATTCCACCATCTGCTATTATTGGATTCAAACCTGGGTCCTTGGAACATTACCTGGTTCTCTGAATTAACAGTAAAGCAATAATACCACTAGGTCACTGCCTCCCCTTTGATCCTTTAGTCCTAAGAACTATATACAATTCCTTCTTGAAAACGTTTTCAATGTTTTTGCCTTAACTGCCACAGAAATGTAGAAACAATGATATACTTGCATTGGAAGCAGTTCAGTTAACGTTCACAAGGCTGACTTCTAGGATGATGTCTTATGAAGGTCGGAATCTATTCTCATTGGATTTTAGAAGAATGAGGGATGATATTTTTGAAACATAAAAGATTCTGGGAGAATTGACATAGTAAATGCTGAGAGAATGTTTCCTCTCAAGGAATCTAGAACTCTTGTGCATAGTTTAAAACATAGACAGCTTCCAATTTAAGACAGAGATGTGGAGGAATTTCTCTTCTCAGAAGGTCATTCCAATGTGAAATTCTCTGACAGAGAACAATAGAGGCTGGGTCATCACTTTCAAAGCTGAGGCAGACAGATTTTTTTTTGATCTACAAGAGAATTAAGGGTTACGGATGTGGGGGAGGGAAAGTGGAATTCAGACCACAATCAGATCAGCCATGGTCTTATTGAATGGCGATGCAGCCTCAAGAGTCCAAATGTTCTTCTCCTGCTCCCATTCTTTTGACTCTTATGATCAAACAGCACACTAACAGTTGCTGTAAAAAATTTAAGTCCAAAGTTTTTTATTTGCCTGAGTGAAGAGCTGGAAGGGCTCCAACTCCTAGCTTTGCATAACATTAGCACTCTCCCACCTCCTCACTGACTCACCACCATCTTCTCCCATTGAGGCACGTGTCGCTTTCAGCCAATTTCGTTCAACCTCCTCCCAATAAATTGATTGCTGCTTCCAGAGATTCAACTGTCAAACCTTTCGCCAGAATGTGTTCCCTGGTTTCTTTAAAAACAAGCAGCAGTTGCTCCATCTGGATTAGCAAACACTTTTGGTACTGCAGGCTGAGTAAAGCCCAATCAGTAAATCACTGATTTGCAGATTTGTAAATAGGAATCAATTCTCTGTTGCCCAATAAACTGACCTCGAGCTCTGCAAATGCAACAATTAATTAAGAGTTGAAACCAAAGAGGTTATGTAATTACCCCTCATATGTTTCACATCTTGCACACTTTAGATGCAGGTAAAGGAGATAAAATTAGAACACTGAAGATTGTTTTGCTTTAATATGTTTTTTTCCCAGGCCATGCGTCTTGGATAAGATCATCATCTTCACTTTAACATTGGTGCCACAGGCTTTAATCTGTGTTCTGCCTGAGGATTTAGCACTTCCGGGTTGTGAACATATCATCATGAATATGTGGCATCGTGTAAGGGGCATGCTATCATCAGGAGCAATCATGCAGTCAGGTTCTATGACTCAGTTGGGGTCTTTGGGCTGGAATCTTTATAAGTTTCTGAGCACCATGGGAATGACACGATATGTGACAGAACTGGGCAATACACACAGCAAGGCCCAGCTTGACGTTAGGAGCACCTCACTCTTTTACACTTTTCATAAGCGGAACAGTGAGATTCTCAATGGGCAGCATTGAGTTGCCAGTCAACAGGAAGTAATGCTTGTTAAATCAGATAATAAGGTGTACAGCTGGATGAACACAGCAGGCCAAGCAGCATCAGAGGAGCAGGAAAGCTGATGTTGCAGAAAATTTTCTGAAGAAGGGTCCAGACCTGAAACGTCAGGTTTCCTGCTCCTCTAATGGTGCTTGGCCTGCTGTGTTCATCCGGCTCTACACCTTGTTATCTCAGATTCTCCAGCATTGGCAGTTCCTACTATCTCTGAATCCTTGTTAAATGCCTTCTTTAACATGCCTCATTAATAGTCAGCCTTCTATCTAACAAACTCACCAAACAATCTAAACATGGGAAAACCCAACAAAGAAATCAGAACAAGCAGCTGGAGCATTCAGCTCTCTACCTGCTCCAAATGACTTACATTTTAGTAACCAGGCATCAACATTTCAGAGCAAGCTCCGTGGGCACCAGCTACACGCAGTCCACATCCACGACAGGCTCTAAGAACCCTGAGGTCACATTTCCAATCCATATACAAGACATTTCTACATTTCAACGCCATACCTTGAGTTGCACTGGCAACTAACATTGTAATGCTGGAGGAAGAACACTGCGCTCAGGGACTTGCACCCAGCTCATGGACTGAACCAGGCTGTATCTTGCAGCTCTTTGCTTACTGCCATTGCACTCTCAAATTTTAACCAGACCCATCTCTGCAAGGCATCTCTGTTTATCATAGAGCCAAAGCCTGGCACGTGACCAGGAGGCCTCAGTTAAGTCAAGGGGGTTAACCTTCTCTCAAGGGTTGCCAGTACAGTAAGTCAAGGGCAGCTTCCTATACCAGTCTAGGCCCTGTTCAGGACAATCTGAATCAGGATCCTATCCTCCATTAGCAATGAGGAGTTGAAAGGCAGGCAGCACATCTTGTGTCTTGACTTTTTCTGTCCCTATTGTGGGATGTTTTTCTCCCGAGACAAAACCAGATATTATGAAATACAAAAGTGGATGGCATAGATATTGTTGGTGGTGTCCCGAGCAAGTGAGTAGGCAACACAGAGGGCATACGGCATGACTGGTGTCGGGGTTGGGTAAGGGCAATTGAGGATGATGTTGCAGGTATTAGTAAGAGTGGTGGCACATGAACCTTGGCAGGAGGTGAGTATATTATCAGACAGTGAGTGTGAGGTATCAGATGAAATGATGGTACTTAGCCTGGCAGAGTAGAGAAGGAGATTGACCTTCTTCCTACAATGCTGGGCCTTCCTCCAGGTGGCTGAAACTGCTTTAATTTGGGTGGCATCCAGACATGATCTGGTGACCTCCGCTGCTGGTCCTGAGGGAACAGGAAGTGCTGCTTTTGTACCAGCCCGTCCAGCTGGTCCTCCAGGACTCTGCTGCAAAGCAGGCCACCGATTTGCTCTGTCTACTACGTTAGAGGCAAATGTCAGCAACTCTGCAGGGTACCTCCGGACTGACAGTGCTTGCCTGGGTGCACAGCAACTTTTTAAAGATGCACAAGTGCAAGAGATGATGATGAATCCAGGATATCTGTTTAGTGGTGAGTTGTTTTAGGAACGGCACATGGTAACAAAAACAGAAGTTGCTGGAAAAGTTCAGCAGGTCTGGCAGCATCTGTGAAGAAAAATCAGAGTTAACGTTTCAGGTCTGGTGACCCTTCCTCAGAACTGAGTTTTGATGATGCACATGGTAAGATGGGGCAGAAATCATACAAGAGAGATGCCACATTAAGAGGCAATTATTGAAGCAAATTTGGTCAGATACAGCAAGAAAATTTACTAGACCTCTCAAATTTTACCAACATCCACCCTGTCACACCCTGTATGAATTTTCAATGTTATCATGTCTAGTTCTTCAAAACTTAACGAATACAGCTTCCTCACAAAACAATCCCAACATCCCAAGGATTAATCTGGTGAACCTCAATTATAATCATTCCATAGATAAAGAGACCAGAGCTGAGAAACAGTGTCTGCTGACACTTGAAACCGCGAGCATCCGCACCTGTGTGGAATTGCGCATGTGCACAATTCCAGACCCAACAAATCATCATGTAAAATGTTGAGGATGGAAGGGGAGAGTGAGAATGGTCAGGATGTTGGTGCGGGGGGGAAGTGAGGATGGGGGAGAGTGGGGAACAGGGGCTGCTGAAGAGGGCATTTGGGTGCTATTCCCCAATCTTCCAGGCTCTACCCCCGTAACGCCCACCCCACATCCGGCTCATAGGCCCTGTTCTCCTGAAACCATTTAAATGCACATGCACAAATTAATGTGGCACATAGTGTACATGTGCTGATGTCAGTAAACATCTCACCATGCCTCTACACAATTGCACCAAGTTATCTTTTGTTCTGTAATCCCTTGCAATGAATGACACCATTTGCCTTCCTAATTACTTGCTGCATCTGTTTGATAATTTGACACCCAAGTACCTTTGGACACCTGCACTTCCCAACTCCTCATTATTTTGAGAAATAAACTGCCTGTTTTTGTGCGGACGTAAATAACTTCACATTTTATATTAATATTCCACCTACTAAGTTCTAGCCCATTCACTTCACCTGACCACTTGAAGCCCCCTTGTATTCTCCTCACAACTTAGATTCCAGTTTTGAGTCTTCAACAAATTTAGAAATATTACAGTTGGTCCCTACACCCACATAATTTGCATAGACTGTTAACAGTTGTGGACTTAGTCGTGATCTTTGCAGTACTGAACCGGTAAAAGCCTGCTATCCGGAGAATGATCCATTTATTCCTACACTCTGCTTTCTGTCCATCAACCAATTCTCAAACCATACCAGTATATTATCACCAATTCAATACACTCTAATTTTATTTTCTAACCTCTGGGTGGGACCTCAGCCCCTTATTCCACGTTTGTCATTTAGTGCTATAGAAACTTTTGAACAGGCCACAAGCCTCAGTAAATAGTGGCAATGAGCTTGCTGCTGCAAAGTTATCGAGGATTAGCAGTGAAATTAGGTGATTTAAGATGATGTCAGGCAGGAGAATAAGTAGTTAATATTGCTAATTGCTAGAGTGTTTACCTTACAACAGTGAGAACAATCTCTGGTCATAACAACAACAACATAAATCAAAATGTACAAAACATTACCTCTTTAAGTACTAGCAGGGTGAGTCGTTCTAGAAGCGATATCATGGTAACCAACCAAAATTGGAGAAGGTTCATTTGGGAGCAAAACAGAAAGACTGAATCAGGGACATACAGAGATCACGTCAAGGCAATGAAGAGTGCAAGAATCTCCAAGCAACTCATCCAACAGACCTTCCAAACATCTACCCACACAGAGTAGAATCTGGAGAATGTGTCTTGGATTTATCAGCCATTTCTAATCCTTCAGTTAGAATTGATACAAATTATCCCCAATCCAGAGATATTGCTTAAGAGAGACTGCTGCGTTTTGTTTAATTTAAATGTACACAATATTTGTTACATTAATGAATTTATTTTACAAGTTATTTTAGTTAAGCGTGCACAGTACTGCATGCGTGGTACAGTATTTCAAGTTGTACGTTGTTTATTCCAGACAAGAAATGTCGGAAGGAGCCTATCTCTGGCTTTAACATTTATTACTATGGGAAATCATGATTCACTTAAAGTTGCCATTTTCAGGAATGCAATCAAGACTTTAAGTGAAGGTTTACTGCAAGTAATTTTTTTACAGGCTGCTACAGATCATCCAAAATTATTTCAAATCAGCTAGTGAGCTTGTAAGGAAATTTAATCTCCACCCTATCCCTGATGTGTTCAGGATATGAAATACTTTACATGGGAATTAAAGAATTGTTTTTATGTGGGTTAGATTTGAAATCCAACACCAATTTCAATCAGCTTGTATTAGTGTGACATAGCAAGCATTCATTACTATGAAGGAGACTGCTTGGGCAGGAAAATAATGAATATAGTTATAGGAGGCAACATCCAAACGGTTACTAAATTCCATGGTGTTTTGTTTTTGTAACCATGAGCTCACAAAGTATGATCATATATCAGTTCTGAACTTTTATACATTTATGCCCACTAGTCCCACAATGTCTTTAAGTACCCTATCGGCTAATTCCTTGTGTACATTTGAAAACTGTTTGGCTCGCCTTAATTCTATGAAGTTGTCTTTGGCATTCGACAAACATCGAGTCCGCTCTTGATAGGATTCATTCACATGCTTCACCATTTCAAGATGCTTATCTTCAGTCTGTAGCATTGAGTTGATCATCTCCTGGAGTTTAGGGTCAGCTGCTAATATGGATTTTGTTGAAGTACACAGTTCCTTCGTATACTGCTGTGCAAGCAGAAGTTGCTTTGGGATTGATTGTTTGGGCTGCACAGAAAGAGAAAAATTGTAGCCCTGCATGTCGAGCTTGATTGTAAAATCTCCTGAAGAAAACAGAGAAAATGCACTGAGCTCTTTCATAATTATGGCCTTAATATTTTTAACTGCCTATATGTAACATGGATAGCGAGCATCAGCATATTCTCCATAACCTCTAATTCACTAACCCCAATATGTCCTGGAAGCGGGATAAGTTGTGCTTTCCAATTTTCCATCATATCCTCAGTGGTAGGTCTGCAGAAACCCCAGAAAAATGTTTCTGCAGAAGGAACGTTTTCCCAGGGTTTCCACATGCTGATCTACTGAATTAAGGATTGAAAGTCAGGAGATCCTTCACAGAAATATAATCAGCAGGAGATTTAATGAATGTGAGTCCAGCAATCTGTGATGGTGATTAATGGACATTTGAGCTTAGAAATTTGATTGTGTCCAAATCAGGATGCAATCTGGATGTAAAACAATCTACAGGCACACAAAGAGACTTGAAGAAGGACTAAGACAAAGTGTTTGGCTGACCTCATTTGTATGTTGCTGAGGAACTGCACGTGTCTATTGTAGTCCCAGAGACAGACTGTTAGTCTTAGTACAGGCCTGGATAAAAGAAAATTGTCCAGGTGAGGACCAAAAGAAAGGGTGTGGCACACACAGGCAGTCAGCAGCCTACTGTTTTGATACAGAGCCAAATGGAACACTTGTACTCCAACTAGCTCTGAGTTCAAGTAAATAAAGCATTTGTACTTCAGCTGGCAGTCTTCTTGTTCCCCTTGAGGGACCTCTATTTCAACTCCTGGACACCCATGAAAACCAACCAGAGTATGAATTTAATTGTGACCCAATTTGTGAATGAGTCTGAAAGAGGTAATAGACACCTGATATTCAAAAGTAATCGACTCAGTTGGGAAAACTACAGGCCAGGTTGACCAATGCAACACACACTAAGTTCATGTAGTCCGTAACCAACACACATTAAATTCATGTAGTCCTTCCAAATCAGTTACCACACCTTAATTACATTTCTGGTCCTGATTATATCAAACAGGAAAAAAAGGATGATATATCCACTACATGATGATAGTGACTACATTTCAAAAATACTTCACTGTCTACAAAAGATTTTGAGACCTCCTGTGGTTGCAAACAGCACATTTACTAATGCAAGGCCATCTTCTTAACATTTTGCTTTTACAACATAATGGCAGAATTGATGTAAAGTGCTTTCAGCCTGAACTGACGCTGCAGTAATAGCATGACTGTTGCCCAGATGTTTCCACTGAAATGGAGGGAATATGGGTGGATGGATAGCCTACCCAGCACAAAGGTCAGTAAGAATCACAAAGACCACGCATCCAGCCATCCATAATAATACTACACTGGGGGTGATCTTGTTTGCATGACAGTTGCACTTCCAACCCTCAGGGACAGGAGTCTCACCCTAGAGAGCAACCAGCCTATCTATTCGGTTGCTAGCTCCGTGGTCCTAGCAGAAGAGAGTAGTAGCCGCTGCTCGGACTACAGACAGTCTCTGGGAAGGAAGAGCACGTCACAAGGACTTGAAGATACATCTAGACATTTTTGCCAGGCAGTGTCTGTGTTTGCGCGTGCATGTGAGAAGGGGAACTGGTGGAGAACCTGGATTTCAGAGGCCAGGGATGTGGCACTAAAGTCGGGGGACTGTTACTGGAGAACTCCCAAGAAAGGCAACCTCCCAGGCCCTCCCAATAGCTCTGCTTCCAACATTAGTTTTTTTCCTAAAATCTCATAAGTGGCAATTTAATCTTTTAATTAAACAGAAAATGCTTACAATATTCCACAAGTTTTGCAACATCAGTGGATAAACAATTTTAGGTCATGAGCTTTTATCAGAAAATATTATTAAATTGTTGGATTAACTCATGATCTACCCCCGCACCCCATCCATAGTGACAAGACTGTGACACTTTGGCACAATTCGGCAAATAATTGCCAAGGATCTCATTTGAACAGAGAACGGAGGACAATTATATGGAACAACAAGGCTACTGAAGTGTGCTGAACAAAGCTAAAAAGCCAGTTCTGTGATTGTTGCCTGGGAAACTGGACACCGATTATCCCCACATGTACTTTTTAAATATTTATTTCATCTGTGCCAAACCATGACGTTCTGCTACTAGAAAATGCACAAAGGTACAATGTGGAGTCTCAATCTCCTGATGACCATTATCATAGAGTAATATCATGGAAACATACCCTTCTGTCCAACTAGTCCACGCCAAAAATAATTCCAAACCAAACTGGTCCCACCTGCCTGCTCCTGACCCATATCCCTCCAAACCTTTCCTATTCATGTACTTATCCAAATGTCTTTTAAACATTGTAATTGTACACACATCCACTACTTCCTCAGGAAGTTCATTCCACACATGAACCACCCTCTGTGTAAAAAAAAAAAATTGCCTCTTCTGTCTTTATTAAATCTCTCCCAACTCACCTTAAAAATGATCCCCCTCGTCTTGAAAACCCCCATTCTAAGGACAAGACAACTACCATTAACTCTATTTATACCTCTCATTATTTTATAAGCTTCAATCAGGTTGGGTCTAAATCTCCTATGCTCCAGTGAAAAATGCCCCAGCCTTTCTTTATAACTCAAATCTTCCAAACCCGGCAACATCCTGGTAAATCTCTTCTGAACCGTCTCCAGCTGGATTATATCTGTCCTATAACTGGGCAATCAGAATTGGAAACAGTATTCCAAAAGAGGCCTCACCACTGTCCTGTACAATCTCAACATGGCTTCCCAGCTCCTATACTCAGAGGACTGAGCAATGAAGGCAAGCGTGCCAAGCACCTTTGTAACCACCCTGCCTACATGTGACACAAACTTCAAAGAATTATGTACCTGCAACTCTAGGTCCCCCTGTCCTACAACACCACCATTATAAGCCCTACCCTTGTTTGTTGTACCAAAACGCAATACCTCACATTTACCCATATTGAACTCCATCTGTCTTTTCAACCTGTACTTGTCAGGCAGTGCAAACATGACACTTTCTGGATAGCAGAGAGGAGTTCAGTAATACAGGATGCAAATTTATTAGGGGTTCTTCCACTTTTCCACAATTTCATCAGAGCTACCACAGAGCTCCAAGGCAGACAGGACATAAAGAGCAAGTGGACAGGAGAGCTCCTGAAGAACTCACCGATTTAATGTACTAATGTTGTGTTGTCCTTCACCTTTATCACTTGCGCAAAATTTCAGATGCAAGATCAACATTCTGAATAAGCATGACCATGTAAGAAGTGGAGAACAGTACAAACCCAAACAGCAGATAAAATCAAAAATAGGAACAAAGCCATCCAGGTAAAAAAATTAAAAATGGCCAAAACTACAGCACATTAAAGATTTTGAGCTCCTGATTGAAAAAAATTATCAACAAACTCGGAAGTTGAAACTTTCATATTTATCAGGCATGGGTGACTTCTGCTAATTCAAAATAACTTCTGGTGTGAAGACTTGATTTATTAAATAATATCATAACATCTCAAAATGACAATTTTGTGCTATAAAACTCAATTTGAATGAAGCAATCTTGACTGGAATTGGCAACAACAATCATTTTAATGATATTTTTATTTCAGTTGGAAGAATTGTTGAATGGAAGTTTGGTACTGACATTAAGTGATGATCACCTAAGATCCTTAGACAACACCTTCCAAACCCATGACCACACCAACTAGGACAAGAGCAGCAGATACATGGAAGCACCGCCATCTGCAAGTTCCCCTTCAAGCCACTCGCCTTCCTGACTTGGAAATATATCACCGTTCCTTCAGTATCGCTGGATCAAAATCCTGGACCTGCCTTCCTAATGGCACTGTGGGTCTACCTACAGCAAATGGACAAGGCTGTTCATGAAAGCAGCTTACCACCTCTCGAGGGCAACTAAGGATGGGTGATGAATGCTGACCCCTGTACTCCTCTAGAGTTAAATTGCACCAGGCCTGATTTTAGGTCTGAAAGGGTAACATGCATGAGGCATGTATCCTAACTGGGAAGCCCAAGTCTGACCTGAAATTGGGTACTAGGATTCACTCCCATTCTCGGGCTGAACCACTGAACCATTTCCAGGTTGCAAATCCATCCTTGAAGGTGAGGAAACAAGGCTTCCAACTTTGATGCAGGCAAGCATTTAATTGGTGAGGAAATGGGAGTGGTGACAAACTATTGAGCACAGTTGTGAGATTGGAGGCAAAACATCATGGAAGCAGGTCATGTTCTGATTGTCCTTTCTTAAAGAAAGGAAAGATTCTGTGTTTTCAAACTGGCCAGAGCAGAAAAAGAACTAGAACCTGGGTTTGAGCATGATCTTGTTAATGTGATTAAATTCATTGCTGTGGAACAATTTTTGTTAATTCTTAATTCTTTAAAAGTCACATCAAACTTTTTCAATGTTGTCAACCCTGTTCATCATAGGCTGGAACTGTTCTGCTATCAAATTGTTCCCACAAGCCATCCTCACCTGCAGGCATCTCAGGCCGCTAGTAAGCAAGCTCTCAATAAGCTCCTTAAATTACATAAATGCACCTATTTAACAATGTGATTTTGCAGTAACCTAACTTTCCCATCTTCACAAAAGTTGGCAGAGTTGGACATAGAGGTAGCAGACCAGCAGCAGCGAGGTTGTCAATGTCAATTTTCTTGGTCAACCATCTTCATCAGGTCAACACACAATGTTTTAAACCACTCTAACTTAACTTGGGATTAGTTGCAGGTGTGACTTATTACATCATGTTTTCATATGTCGAACCAGTGTTCAGATATAGCCCAAAAAATGCATAAGACACAAACAAATATAGTTTTGAACTCTGCTCAACTATGTTAAAAAAAAAGGCTTTATTCCACGTCTGATACAAGTACTCTATATTAGTATTGGATACCAGTAGTGTATTCAAAATCCTCATCTTAAACAGCAGAAAAATTAAGCGAAATTAAAAACTTGGGAAGTACAACACATTTTCCTATTCAATTTCACACTTGCCAAATGCTATGGACTCAATGAACAAAATATGAGAAGATAATGGCACAATTTAGTTAAAGTTGCAAAATACACAAATGCCTGGATATCTGAAATAAGCGCAGAAAATGCTAGATATATACAACAGATCTGTCAGCATCAGTAAAGAGACAAACATGTTCGATACAAGACCATATAAATATATATTTCAAATTCTGGCCTGATGCTTTTAGCATATTTTTAATTACAATATTTTTAATATTGTGAATCCCTCGCAAAAACAGATATTAAGAAACATTCCACTCTGCAGCAATCTAAGAACTCCCAGGAATGTTTCTGGCAATGAAGACAGCCCCCATGTCAATCTTACCCCATCGTCCAAGTACTTACTGTGTTCATGTTGAAGTGTTCGAAAACAGTCCATGAGTGTGTTGCATTGACAACATTCTTTCAACAGTCTTGTGAACTCACACAGAGTTATGTAATTGCTGTGTTGATGATTGAATGTATCCACAATATTTGCAAAACAGTGATCAAGTTCAGCCACGTTTACAATCTTTGCAGAAATTCTCCCATCCTTTATAGACATAACTGTAAGAAAATTTGTTACTCAATATTTTAAAAATAAATACTTGTGGCTTTCTAATGTTTAACAACAAACAACATTTTCAGAACTTCAGAACTGATTTGGAATCCAGTGACAGGCTCACCCATATTCCACTATAATATGGAAGTTAAATCAGAATACAGCTTCCCTATTCACAACCATAATCAACTTGATTACGGCTGCCTACTCCAATACCTGATATTGTGGCATGTAGTACTATTTCTACATTCCACACACAATTAATGATAGAATGGTTACAGCACCAAAGGAGGCATTCATCCCATTGTGCCCATGCTGACTTTCTGCAAGAACATTTAAGTCAGTCCCATTTCCTGTAATTATTTTAAATTAACCAGTTCAGACATGTGATGCACCTCCAGGGTAGGCGGGTCTTGAACTGGCTCAGAGCCAGGGACACAACTTCTGTGCCAAGAGAACCTCCCATTTCCCTACAGAGCTATGATATGTTTTCTATTCAGATAATTATCCAGTGCCCACTTGAAAACCACAATCAAATACCGCAATCTCTCACACTGGATTTCAAATCTTAATGGATTAAAAAGGCTTTTCCTTGTGTCACCATTGCTAATTCCTTTGCTAATTACCTAAAAATCATTGTCCACTGGTTCTTGCACTTTTGCTAACAACGATAGTTCCTTTTTACTTAGTCTGGGCACGTACGATTTTGAGCCTCTATCAAATTGTCATCAGCCCTCTCTAAAGAGAACCACTCCAACTTCTATAACTATTGGATATATCTTGGATCTTTTATGCACTTCTCTAAAGATTTTATATCCTTTCCAAGTCTGTTCTCCAGAAATAGACAAAACACTTCAGTTGTGTTATTTTTATCCCAAGAAAACAAGGTAGCAACTATGTTATACTACTGAATGGGTGAAATGGGTTTGCAGACAATGAAATACCAATCTAAAACAATTTGAACTAGAAGGAGTTCAGAAAAGATTTATGAGGATGTTGCCAGAGTTGGGGGATTTGAGCTAAAGGGAGAGGCTGAATACGCTGGGGCTATTTTCCCTGGAGCGTTGCAGGCTGAGGGGTAATCTTATAAAGGTTTATAAAATCATGAGAGCCATGGACAGGGTAAAAAGACAAGGTCATTTCCACAGGGTGGGGGAGTCCAAAACTAGAGGGCATAGGTTTAATGTGAGAGTGGAAAGATTTAGAAGAGACCTAAAGGGCAACTTTTTCACGCAGAGGGTGGTGTATATATGGAATGAGCTCGGAGGAGGTACTCTTCTTCTTGGAATACTCCAAGTATACAAGGACAATGGATACCCAAAAAACTGGGTCAGAAGATACCGAGTACACGAATGACACCAGGAAGATACTGCACGTCCGGACACACTCATCACGCTACCATACATCAAGAACATATATGAACTGACCACGAGGTTCTTACGACCACTGGGCATCAGAGTAGCACACAAACCCACATCAACCCTACGCCAACTGCTAACCTGAACCAAAGACCCATTACGCACTATGGACAGGACCAAAGTAATATACAAGATCCCCTGCAAAGACTGCGACAAACATTACATTAGACAGGAAGAAAATTAGCCACAAGAGTACATGAACATCAACTAGCAACAAAAAGATGTGACCAATACTGACATCTCCATCCACATGGATAAGGAAAAACACCAGTTTCATTGGGACAACACCAGGATCCTGGGACAGGCCAAGCAGAGACAAGTACGGGAATTCCTAGAGGCCTGGTTGTCCACTAAGAAGGCCATCAACAAACACATATTAGACCCTATATATACTCCACTGTGAAGAAAAACCGGAAGTGAGGTAACACCAGAGTTTAAAGAACAGGTGGGAAAACACACCGGCGCTTCATCGAAGGCTGCACTGATGATGTTACCCAGCAGGGTAATGAAACGTCTGCAGAACAATGAACCAGCTCGGCAAGCCAACCAACCACAACATCCACAACCAGAGCGACAAACCTATTCAAAAACCTTACGGAAATGTTCTGTCATGGTTCTTAGAAGCAGGCACATATTGGATGCCAATATCCGTGGACTTGGTCTGTGTGTGTGGCCAGTACCCATGGTGAATGCCCTGAGATGTTGGCACCCGGTCTTCGACATAGAGATCCCTCAAAACAAGCAACAAGCTAAATTCGATAGGTATCCACTTGATTTCATTTCCATGTTGAATTTTCTCTAACTTGTTTGACATGTTCGGAAAGATAGGGAGCTGAATATTAATATATTAATGAGGCAAGTTAACCAGGCATTTGACAAGCAATAACTCCCTTATTTGACAACTAGCCACTGCCTAGCGAGAAGAATGCTATGCCACTTGTCCAAAGCATTAAAGGCGGAGCAAGATGCTCCCGACATGGAAGCAGACCTTGCTAAACATCTCATCCATTTCTCCTACAAATTCCTCCATAGCCCACATTGCTCAGACCTCTATAACATTCTGCCCATTATCAATGATCATGATATTGCTATTTCACTTGAACAGGTCAATTTAGAGCACTATGATACTTTTCATTAAAACAATAATTAAAGTGCAGCATGATGATCAGATTTTTATCCCTACAATAACAACATAGCTCTTACTTTACTTGACTAATTATATTTAGTCCTTTCCCATTTTAATGCTATCCAATTGGACAAGATTGAGAGATGCAATTGAGTCTTTAAAGAACCATCTATGAGCTGCAAATTGCAGATTCCCATCTGAGGATCTTTTACTGGGTAACACTGGGTCAGTATAACTCCACACCTTCAATCTATTTCAATTCCAAGTCTCTTCTCAAGGTTTTAGCTGAACAAAACTCGCGAAAGAGCACAGCAAAGCAGGCAACAACTTCTGGAGTTGTGTGTTGAACTGCACATCTGTGGAATGGACTGTCCAATCTATTCCATAATAATGGAGCGTGCTCACTGTGTCACCATTACTCCAACACAAAATCCGAGCCATTATTTCTAAAGGTTTCCAAACTAAATGACATAGAAATCTACATGTGCAAAGATCATATTTGTCTGACATGAAATCACAATGTATTCCTAAAATAATACACTCAAATTGCCTCACTCCAGAAAACATAACCACAGATCGAACCATTCCATAATGCCAAGTTTATTATTCTTAATTTGGATTTAAGAGGAATGAAATATAAAAGACAGTAATATTGAAAACACTAAAAATGGAAACATGACCTCAGCTTGTTGGCTAGTCTACCGAAATAATCATGCATGTTGTTTAGTAACCAGACAGAGGGCATGGGAAAGTAACAAGGCTGAGCAACACAAATAAGGTATTAACAAAATGTACCTTCTGTTGGACGTCGCAATTGTCGTGCAGACTGTGGAATCATCAGGGGCTCTTGCTGCGAAGAACAAAGATAAATCTTTACCATATAATATTATCACATCATTAATTTCCATGCAGAAAAGAGATTACTCCATGGAACACAACACAACACACTTCATAAAAAGGCTGAGACTGAATCCTAATAACTGCATAAAATCTACAGAGTGAATAAAACAAACACCACAGAAGTTTGTGAAAGTGATATAGTAAATGCAATAGTAAAACATAGTAAATAAGAAGGAAATTGTATCATGTAGATTTTAATTTGACCCATATTGAACTTAAACTAGATCAAATAATCAAATATTAAATTTATTTTTGTAAGTTAAGCTATTCATCTAAACAACAGAAAGACAGCATGGCAGGGCAGCCAAGTCCTACTGAATGCATCTTCTGTGCCATGTGGGAAGTCAAGAGGCTTTATGTGTGCTGAAAAACCATGAGTATGAAAAATTATCAACTCAGGGAGAATAGTGGAGATGAATGCATGATTGAAGAGATGATGCAGAAGGGGACAGCTTTAGATTCCTGGGGCATTACATGGTTCTGGAGGTGGTGGTACCTGCCAAAGCCAAATCGTTTACAGCTCAACAGAGCAGGAACCAATGCTAAAGGAGCAAAGATGAAAGTGGATGATAGAAAATTAGCAAGTAGGTATGGAAGGTAGAGAAAACAAAGACTAGAACATAGACAAAAATGAAGCAGGTGATTCGTACGTGGAATGAACTGCCAGAGGAAGTGGTAGATGCAGGTACAGTTACAACATTTAAAGGACATTTGGATAGATACATGAATAGCGAGGTTTACAGGGAGAGGGGCCAAACAGAGGCAAGTGGGACTAGTTTACTTTGAGAAACTTGGTTGGCATGAATGAGTTGGACTAAAGGGTCTGTTTCTGTGCTGTATGACTCTGTGACTCTATAATTCATTACACCTGGATGAAATATATCCCAGGCTGCGAAAAGAAACAAAAGAGAAAATAACAGAGGTTCTGACTATCATTTTCCAAATCCGACGACAGGTGTAGTGCCAGAGGTCTAGAGGACTGTGAACATTATACCATGAGATTAAGGGGTAGACGAAGTATATGTGGCTGGAGAAGCAGCTAATGTTCAATGCCAAGGTTACCAACAGCTTCTGCTCTCACAGTTGTGATGCCACCAGAAATGGATCTCACAGGAAAAGAGTTCAGTATGTGGTCAGAAGTCTGACTCAGAATTTGAGCTGTTCTACTTGGGTAGCAATCTTCCCTGGCCAGTCCTTCAACAGTTGACGGTTGTCTTGATTTTCGGAGGAAGGTTGAAACTTGGGTCTTTGCCACTCAGAACAGTTACCAGGTTGCAGTTGGTGACATTTGCAGTGAACCAGGATGTATATCATCAACAGGCAGGGCCATGATCAGTTTGTACGGAATAGAGTCTGTTTCGGTAATGACTACAAGTCATCAGATTCACGCATCGTTTTTCGTTGATGTGTCAGAAGGAGTGTTTTGTTAGCTGTCAGTCAGTGGCATTCTTTGCGTGGGATGGGATGTTTTCAATGTGGATATCAAGTTCAGTGTAGCCTAGCACAGGAAGCCACTCAAACTAATTTGGCTTCATAATTGCAGAAATAATACATGCATTTGTTAACTTATCCCAGGCCGATTACAATCCACAGTACTGCTGTGTGAAAACCCCACATCTAATTGACTCCATGATCAGCACTGACAATTCTATATGCATATTGCTTTCAAGTCAACTATAAATATGATTCCACAGGGTTCAGACCCTGAGTTGGTTTTCTTCAGTATATCTACCCACAGGCCCCACATCCACAAAGTCATAGTTCTTCTCATATGTTTACTACTTGTTCTGGCTTTCGAGGCTGAAGAACTCCAGGATATTGAGAAAACAGTCAACGGAAGATGTATATTCTCTGGAAGCCTATTTTAGAGATTGGTAATTTCAATCAAATTCTGCAAAGATTGCCATTTCCGTTTTCCCCTTGAACAACTCAAAGACCAAAAGAACTTCAGGTTCAGTTCTGTGGCCAACTACTCCCCCCGACCCAAGTTTAAAATACTTTGGCATCACACTTAACCATGTGCTAACCTATGAGCATAAATGCTAGAGTCAAAATTAAGATGACAGTGAATCTGATATAGAAACTGGGGCTGGATTACTTCACTTGCCATGGTACAGCCATCAGCCGAGGATTGGTCCTGTTTCAAAGGGGTTCACAAGTGCCACACAAACATAGCAGAAATCCAGCTCCAGGAAACCAAAGATCAGGTCATTACAATCTCAAGTCTTAGGCAAGTTGTTAGAAAGACATGAATTAATCAGATAAATGCAAGATGTTGCATTTTGTTAAGACAAACGAGGACAGGACTTACACAGTTAATGGTATAGCCCTGGGGAGCACTGTGGAACAGAGAGCCCTGGAGTGCAGGTAGATAGTTCCTCGAAAGTGGAGTTGCAAGTAGACAGGGTGGTGAAGAAGGCATTTGACACGCTTGCTTTCAGCAGTCACAGTATTGAGAACTGAGTTCTGAGGAAGGGTCACCGGACCCAAAACGTTAACTCTGTTTTTCCCTTCACAGATGCTGCCTGACCTGCTGAGCTTTTCCAGCAACTTTGTTTTTGTTTTTGTTACTGAGTACGGGAGTTGGGACGTCATGTTACAGCTGTACAAGACATTGGTAAGGCCATGTTTGTTATTTTCCTGATTACCTTGCATATTATTTCTATGAAATAATCACCCAATGCCGTCCTAAATGCCTCAGTTGAGCCTGCCTCCACCACATTTCCCATCAGTGCATTCCATACCCTAATTACTTGCTGTGTGAAACACTCTTTACTCACATTACCTTCGCTTCTTTAGCACATCACTTTAGGTCTATATCCTTTCATTCTTGTTCCTTTTATGAGCTGGAATAGCTTCTCCCCATCTGCTCTATTCAGTCTGTTCATGATTTTGAAAACCTCTATCAAATTTACTCTCAACCTTCTTCTCTCCAAGGAGAACAGTCCCAGCTTCTTCAATCTGTTGTCATAACTGAAGTTTCTCATTCTCTGAACCACCCTTGTAAATCACTTCTGCAAGCTCGCCAATGCATTCACGTTTTTCCTATAATGTGGCACCCACAATTGCATACAATATTCCAGCTAAAGACAAATAAATGTTTCATACAAGTTTAACATCACCCCCTTGCTCTTGTACTCTATGCCCCTATTAACAAAGCTGAGTGCACTGCATATTTTGTTTATTGTGCATTCCACCTGACCTGTCACCTTTAATGATCTGTGCACACGTACACCCAGGTATCTTTGCTCCTTCCACCTCCCCCTTTAAAATTGTACGTCCTACTTCATAATGTTTTTCAATGTTCTTCCTACAAAAGTGCATCACCTCACACTTCTCTGCATTGAACCTCATTTGTCACCTATCTGCCTACTCCACCAACTTGTCAATGTCCTTTTGGAATTCCACACTGTGCTTCTCACAGTTTACAATTATTCAAAGTTTTGTGTCAACTGCTTTGTATTTATAGGAAATGGCCAAAAGATCATAGGGAATTTGAAAAGAAGATTTCACTCAGAGATAGTGAGAATTTGGAACTCATGGCCTAAAAAGATAGAAGAGACATAAACAATCATCACATTTTTAAAAATAAGAAATATACATGATTAGGCTAACTAAATGTTTGTGGCTGGATTCCACAGTGAAGATGAGCTCGACCTACCCCCAATCCCCAGCATCAAAACTGAGTGCCAGCCAATCTCTGCTGAGCAGACTTTACCTGCTTTAGTATTACAGCTGACAGGAATTAAATTGTTAGGAGATGAGACTTCCATCATTCTCCAGGCATAGGGTGGATACAGAAAAGAAAATTGGAGGCCGGGAGGAAAGCCTCCGAATGATACCTGGGGTTTAGAAATCTCAATGCTACTGTCCCTCACCCTTTCGCTGGGTTGCATGTCAGATGCAGACCTCTGCTGCCACCCATTAAATCAAAACAGCGGTGGGGTGGATGAGGCATTAATTAACACTTCAAAGCTTTTAAATTGGATCCATGGGCAAGCAGCCCACCCTCTGCTCATGAAACTGATACAGCAGCATGAGCTTTTTTTTTATTTATTCATTTTTGTAAGATGCGTGCATCGCTGGTTGGCCAGCATTTCTTGCCCATCCCTAGTTGCCCTTGAGAAGGTGGTGGTGAGCTGCCTTCTTGAACCATTGTAGTCTACCTACTATGGGTTGACCCACAATGCCATTAGGGAGGGAATTCCAGGATTTTGACCCAGCAACAGTTAAGGAACAGCAATATGTTTCCAAGTCAGGATGATGCATGGCTCGGAGGGGAACTTGAAGGTGGTGGTGTTCCCATATATCTGCTGCCCTTGCCCTTCTAGAAAATGGTTGTGGGTTTGGAAGGTGCTGTCTGAGGATCTTTGGTGAATTTGATGAATATCTTGTAGATAGTACACACTGCTGCTACTGGGCATCGATGGTGGAGGGAGTGAATGCTTGTGGATGTAGTGCCTATCAAGCAGGCTGCTTTGTCCTGGATGGTGTCAAGCTTCTTCAGTGTTGTTGGGGCTGCACTCATCCAGGCAAGTGGGGAGTATTCCATCACACTCCTCACTTCTGCCTTGTAGATGGTGGACAGGCTTTGGGGAGACAGGGGACGTTAGGCATCACAGTCTTCCCAGCCTCTGACTTGCTCTTGTAGCCACTGTGCTTAACTGGTGAGTCCAATTGAGTTTTTGGTCAATGATAACCCCCTAATGTTGATAGTGGAGGATTCAGTGATGATAACACTATTGAATGTCAAGGGACAGTGGTTAGATTGACCCCTGTTCATGATGGTCATAGCCTGGCATTTGTGTGGCATGAATGTTACTTGCCACTTATCAGCCCAAGCCTGGATATTGTCCAGATCTTGTTGCATTTGCACACGGACTTCTTCAGTATCTGAGGAGTCGCGAATAGTGCTTAATAGTGTGAAATCAACAGTGAACATCCCCACTT